GAATTAAGCTCGAAATTCGTCATGTATTTGGTCGCTTTTTTTTGAGCCTATCCGTCTACGGAAATTATAGGCCCTATAAAAATACACAATCTTTGAAAGTTGTGTACTTTTGTTCCACAAAAACGGTAAACTTTTGTGCCGTCAGCTGACCAAAAAAAAAGTCACATTTGCCTGATGAAATCTTCATTTTAGATCTTTATAAATTGTTGGAGTTGGATTTGCTTTTTTCGCATGGTCCGAGGAGTTGGCTTGTGCTGTCGTACCGTGGACCGATGATTTTACGTTTTGCCCAAATAACTGAAGCAATAGTTTGCTCTTTTAATAAACGCACCACAGACCATTTTACACTTTGTCGAGTGAGCACGTTAAGCCCTTGAGTCCTCGCCTGTACTGCAGATAAAATCATGAATGAAAATGAAGAAAGCTCAGCGTATTGTTTATATATTAAAAAAATCTGATACTACATTTGTATTTTAAAACCGTAATTTTATGAACTGTCTGTCTATTGTCAGTAATATTATTTCAGTAAGTCGGTGGGCGTTCAAAGGTCATTCATTGAACAGACTTTAGCGCGTGCATTCCGCACATTCCATTCATTCAGCGCAAAAAAATGCTTTATCCAAAACCGACGGCCGTTTACTGTTTGGGCGCTTGGCACTTAAGCGCTTGGCCAATCAGAAGAGAGGTATCGGAGAGAGACGAACAGGTGTACGTGTATTATCGTGGCACACCGGCGCACCACACACAGTGCCGCCGACATCTTGTTAAAATAGACGAAAGCTTAGCGTTCTTCTCCCAGGTGATATTACCATTCTCTGAGCTTGTTCTGAGGCAATTGTTATGCAGATTGTTTAACTGTTAACCATCGAGAGGGAATACGCTGAAGAATTTGGTGGTATGTAATTTTTAAGTTTAGAATCGGGAGATCACAATCAGATTATGCTGTGGCAATCAGTGGCATGTTCATCATGTATGAATGATTAGGCACTATAAAAAAAATAAACACTCCATGACGTGACTATAAAATGCAGTTATTATTATTATTTCATTTCTCTCCACATGACTAGATACACTTACGTTACAACATTATAAACCCATAACAAGCAAAGACAAAAAGATAGCCCTAGCATGCCTAGAAAAAAATGTCATGTGTGTGGAGATCGAAGGCAAGACCGTGGACATGGTGGAGGAAAATAATTCCTATAGTTAATGAGTAGTATGTTTTAATACCAGTACTGGTACTAGTAGCCCCTGCCATGCTGAGTGGAAGTGTTTAGAGGAAAATGTACAGTGCGCTGTTCTTTTCTTGAACCAGAATTGCATTTACGTGGATGATGATGATCATGATGATCCGATGATTCATACTATCTGTACTAGTAAATTGTCATTATTGTAATTAAGCAAAAGAAATCAGTCATCCTTTTGGGTGGTAACCACACCAATGTAAACCAGATGATGAGTAAATCAGAAAGAATGTAGGCCTGCCTGTACATGCAAGTTTAGTGTATAAGGCCTAGGGGATGCCATGTTGAATTTTTGATGATGAACCATATAATGATACGATGCCTGTCTTTTTTATTAATTAATACATGTAGGTTTTTCAGTTGTCCCATTCAACTGCTTGTTGCACTCTTTAATTTAGTTTAAAAGCAACAAGTAAAAATCTAACCATTCTTAAACAAATCTAAGTAAATGTACAGTGCCTTTTTTCCTGTCCCTGTAACAATTCCTTACCCACTTGCTTAGCCTAAACTAGCCAGACTAGACAGCTAGATGACAGATGATGGGCCTTGTTCACGAGTTGGCCATTTTTTTTTCAAGTTCCCTGAATGTATTTCATTAATTGTTAACTGTTGAATGGAATGGTGCCAGACTGTTTATGCAGGCACAACGCAGCCTCATTTTACTGTCATCTTTTTTAATCTGGCTTAAACATTAGGAATGTTTAATTTGAAATTTTAAAATTATTCATTGAAGCAGACTGGAATTTATTAGAAATTAAGTTGGTTTAATTTCTCTTCGCAAGTGCCAAAGTTTAAATTTCACCTCACTTTCAATTCAATATGGCTGACTTGTGAATAACGCCCATGATCAACATCATACATGTATGTCCATCCATGATAAAATCATCATCTGAAAGTGGTTTTGCATTATTTATGAAGATGTACTTGATCTTGCCTGGATAATTTTGTTACTAATCATGCAATGTCTTGTCAAGAGCACTCGTGTAGATCTGTCTAATGGAATTGCAGGTTCATTAAAAGCGTTTATGTCTGCATGTGCTTTTTAAAATTTGACAATAATCTTGTGATTTGGGGATGTAATTTTTAACATGTATCTATACATGTACATGTACCTGTTGATAAATTTATTTTCCTGCATCAATCCTTTCCATGGTGTAAGGTGGTGGGTATTGAATGCCCCCCCCCCCCCCTTATAAATGAAAAGTGATGTCTCGGACATTTATTTGCCAGTAAAGTTTAAAAGACTTAAGGGAATTAATGTACAACATTTGCTTTTGCTGCAGTTTTCAGAAATAAATGGATTTGGAGGATTAGTATGTTATAGCAAATATTGTTGAAATGACTTGCTTCACATTTCGGGTTTGGAGATGCTGGAAAATAAAAAAAACCCAAAAAACATGTTCTTGTAGTCTGGTTCCCTGACCCCACTTAAGATGAAACAGAGCGTTTTATAGACTTTGGGGAATTGTAAGGTCAGAGAATCGGTCTAACAGGCTTGTACCCCTTCACAGGTGTGTAATCAATTGCAAAGAAAATGCGGAATAACTAAATGTGACAAATTAGGAGCATTTTTTTAAAGCCATTTTTCTCCAAAGCTGGTCGGCCGACCAGCGTTAGAAAAAAGATATTTTTCTTGAAAATGTCAGCGCAACAGTAGCCATTATTTTACAGGATGCCTAAGACTGTCATTCCCTAACAATCCAGTCGGGCATAATTGGATCATTTTGTTTTTTGATATTTGCAAATGTTGTACATGTATAGGCCTATCTTCCTTTTAACTCGCATGTAAATCTGTCGCCAGTGTGTTGCCAGTGCATAAAACATCATGTTTCAAACTGCATTCATATGAAAAAAATTCATGAGCACGCAGGTGTTGAGTTCTTGCCGAGTCTGCACTTTGCGAACTTAACAAGGAAATTGAATATGAGCCCTTTCCTATCCCTTAAGAGCTGCTGACATACAAGCATTATAATTGTGATTTATAGTTTCATGTATTTGACCCCTGCGTCTTGCTCTGTTATAAACACCTGTTGTTTACCTGTGGTTTCCTGGAGTAGCTCCTTACATCATATGTCTGAGGTTTAATTTATGGTACTCTATGGAGTGTGGAGGCATGTGTTGAAGTTTCGTGTCTTTCCTCGAGTTCAGTTTAGAGTTACTCTCTCCATACTACATTTGGGTTTCATCCCAAGTTTTTTTCTAGCAATACAAAAATTATTCATTTTTGAATTAGTCATTGAACAAAAACAAAAATCCACCCACATTTAGTTATGGAATAATTACTCTACAAATGTTAAAATATTTGCTGCCCGATCATACGTCAGACATATCTTTTTAGTGATGGGCATTAAATCGAACCAAAATAAAAGCGCATTTTGGTTGAAACCGTCCAAAATAGAAAAAAGAAGTGCGTGTCTTTTTCAAAAATTGAAATTTGTTGGCAGAAGATATTTGAATATGTTGAGGAGCTTGTGGAGAGCATTTTTCACAAATTGCCCAAAAGGAGCATGACACAGGCAGGATATGAATGCAGCCTCTTGTTACATTTTGGCAACTCCATGAGGGTCACGTACAATGTACGTGTACGTGACGTGCCTTGGACTAGGAGCAGCCCAAGCCGTTTATGAAAAACTACTAAAGCATTTTTGTAGTTGTGCTACATGTACATGTATGTACTGCTTTAGTCATTGTTAGAGTGGTCTGTTATGTTGTGTGTTATTACCATTGTGCATTTTGAGTTCCAATTCAGACCTTTGTATATTCAAGAAACAGTTTCTGGTGAACTGTCAGCCAGCCCCCCCCCCCCCCCAGAGTCTGAGTTACACATAAAAAAAATACATTTGTGTCAACTTAAGATGTAATGTTGATTGTGGCAATTGCACATGTAGAATGGTGCATTGATGTATGTACTTCTTTTACACATAAAAAAGGACAAGAGCCTTTTCTGTACTAAAACCTTGAGTCCAGTATTTTTTTTTATAAAGTTATAAATGGGGAGGTTTCGCTATTTGTCCTCTTTCTACCCAAGCCATTTGTACATGTATTTGGCTCATCCCTCTATGGTATTCGCTCTTTTCACACTTCCGCCATGGGCATGCAGAGCCTCGATCTGGCAGCTTTATACATTAAATATAGCAGGTTTAGTGATTCCCGTGTCGGGGTTCAGATCACTAAACCGGCTATTTTTATTGTGTAAAGTTGCCAGATCGAGGCTGTGCATGCCCAATGGCAGAGTGTGAAAAGAGCGAATTCCTGTAAATTGTAATAAAACATTTTTGCTGTCAAATTGTACACGAATTTAGGAAATTCTAGAGTTTTAATCACAATTTTTAGCTGCGGAAAGCAGCTCCGCCTCTAGAAATGATCACGTTTCTCCGTTGGTTAGCATGGTTAGTAACAAATGTCTCCACTACTGACCAGCTACCAATTTATTGCAGTCCTGGAAAATTGGGTCACGAGGTCACTCATTTCACATTTGGGCTAGCACTGTACTGCACACAAATTGGGTGCTAAACATATGCTATAAAACGCTCAATGCACCAACTGACGTTCAACAAAATAATGGAAATCCTTTTCAATTGACAGTCACAACCACATGAGTGGTTGTGCATACAAGAACAGACTTTACACATGACTTATAGGCTACAGCAGGTCTACAGTTGGGCCGCAGCTTCCGAGACCTTTTCGAGCTTGCTTTGTTGTCATGCAATAATCATTCAAACGTGACAAGCCCATTACTTTTTTCTGACTTGACAGATTGTCGTGAAAGTCTGAGGAAGACATTACTGCCAACATGACTTCCTTGTTCAAGAACGCCGCCAGCACCGTGCTGAACAAGATCAGCAAGGAGTCGCTGAAATGCGGCCTGTGCCAGAACTTCTACTTCAAGCCCAAGATCATGGACTGCGTCCACACCTTCTGCGAGGACTGCCTGCTCAAGTACCGCAACATGAAGTACCCCAAGAACACCCGCATCCCCTGCCCGGTCTGCGGCGATGAGACGGAGCTTCCCATCGGCGGCATTGCTGGACTCAAGTCCAACTTCCATCTGAGCGGCGTGGTAGAGGAGATGGTCCTCCATGACCAGCTCCTGGGCGCCAAGGGGAAGAAGCTGGAGTGTGGCGGCTGCGACGAGAACAAGGAATCTGTGGCCCGCTGCATGGATTGCGACCACTTCCTCTGCCAAGGTTGCGTAGAGGCCCACAAGCGCTTCGCCATGATCAAGAACCACGTCATCGCATCCCTGGATGAGCTACGCACGGGCAAGATTGAGCTGAAGAGCCCCGCCCGCAAGAAGGCCCCCGAGTGTGACAGCCATCCCGGGGAGAAGATTCGCTGCTTCTGCGAGACCTGCAGCGAGCTGATCTGCCTGGAGTGTGCCTTCTTGGGCCACGCTCGTCCCCAGCACGAATCTGTGAGCATCAGGGAGGCGGCTAACCGACGCAGGCAGAGCATGAGGGACTTTTTGCCCAAGACTGAGGAGGTGAGTAAACAATTCAGAGGTGTGAACCGTATACAATGTATATGGCCTGAATGCGCCCAGATCTCTCAGAATCCATCCACAGGTTTATGAGTATTTTGCAGAGGTGGACAAGAGGCCAGTCACTGTATTTTTATCCAGCCTACATTGCATAAAATTGTGTTTATTCACTGAAGAATTAATTAAGCCGTAGTGTGCTCGATGATCAATAGGCAGGGAGGTTTCAGGCAGCAACAGTGAGCAATAGGCAGGGCGGTTGCGGGAGACCTTAAAATAGAGTGTGCTGTAATTGTTTTCTGCAACAAGTGGTGGATGTTGGAGGATCAAACATGCTAAACAGATGTAGTGACTTGTTGATTTTGACAATGATGTGATTGTATGCAGGGTTTTTGTAATTCATGTATATCTTGCTATTTCGTAATGATATATTCTTCCTAGTACAGGCTGGGTCCTTACATGTTATGTAGGACTCCTATGTACATGGTGTGAGTTTTGATCAAGCAGTCTCAAGACTTTTTCTCGCAAGCTATTGGAGAGCACATTGCACTGTGTGCAGTGAACTACATGTAGGGCTGTCCCGAAAATATATACGAAATACTCAAATATTTGATCAACCGAATGTTCATATGGCTGGTTCAACATGTTCGAACAGTCAAAGATAAAAATTACGCATGTACAGTTGTACACACACATGACTGTGATGTTATTGTAACTGTACAGTTGCTGCATTTTATTGTCAGATGCAACATTTTTATGACATTGTCTACATTGGGTCATTGTTCCCATGCTTTTAGAAGGTTGAAAACTTACTACGAAACACTCCTGTGGCCCATAACATCGATTGCACGTTTTGCGTGCAAAATTTGACGTGCAGGTGTGGCATGCAGAGGCAGCTGGCAAATGTTAACTTGACTATCAATCTGGTTTGAATATATCAAATATTTGGTTAAAAACAGTTCGAATAATCGAATACCGCACTAAATTAGTAAGAAACGGACAGCTCTAGTGTGAACTGTGAATGTACCATTATATGTAAGTTGTTGAAAGCAAAATCTAATATAACAAATATTGAAGAGATGGAATTGATTCTTTTTAATCTGAATGAATTATTTACTTGCTGATTTGTAGGTGGTAGCAGAATTCCAACAGGTTCAGAAGTCCTTGAACACTGTGAAGAATGATCTGAAGATCAACGCCGGCGATGCAAGGAAGAGTGTCCAGGAGTTGGTGGCTTCCAAGATTTCTGAGCTGAAACGAAAGGAAAAGGTATTAAAATGAGATCGTATTAATGCAGAAAAGGAACCTTGGGTATAAAATTCTGGTCTTCAAAAAAAGAGAGTCGTTAGTCATTATTGATTCCAGTCCAATGTTACCCTCCTGGCAGTTAACTCTTATGAACCACTTATGCCTAGGGTTTAAATAGTAAAACGTCTAAAATTCTGGCAATCCTATGAAAGAGCAACGGTCTCATGCCTTGCCTCCCTGCAGATGCTGCTGGATGAGATTGACCACATTGAGAAGCAGCGGGCCCAGACCATGCAGCAGAGCGAGCAGCACGTGTCCAGCTTCATCGGCAAAGCCCGTCACTCCCTGGAGGTTGCCCGCAACGCCATTGAGACGGCCACTGACCCGGACTTCCTCTCCCTGCACCCCACGGTGGAGAGGGACCTGCAGAATTTGACCGAGAAGTCACCTCCTCAGGTACATGTAACCTTAGGGCCCACCTACCCCATGTACAAGAAGTCTTTCAGGAATTCTATCAGAAAAATCCTACAAAATCCTCAGAAATTGCCTCAGATCACACCACAGAGAGTGTCTAGAATCAATTTTAGTAAGCGGGCCCTGAAGCCCCCGCCATTAGGGCTTCGCACTTTGCACTCGCATTAGTTCTGATCAAGGTATGACCCCCCCCCCACACGCACATTTGAGAAGCGATTGACGCCCCTGGTAGGATCCTGTAAGGATCCAATAAAGATCCTTTTCAACTTTTTTTCGTAAGAGCTGCCGTTGCAACATCTCAGCAAATGACCTCCATCCCTACCCCTACATGTATAAAGGGGTGAAAGTGTTCCTGTTTCGTCCACACCTTCAAAATCAGTTTCAAATCATTGATTAATTGGACCAGCTCCCATTGTCTCAGAATTCGCAGTTGATGCATCAGTGTTAATGGCTCAATGCAATAAGGTCCGAAAGACTTTTTTTACACCTGTTGCAGTCTGTTGCATCTGGCAATGTCATGAATGTTAGGGTGAACACATTAGGAGCTGTGCAACATTGTATTGCATTGTATTTATCCCCTGACGAATCCATAAAGAGCCATTAAGTGCTGAGGTGATTTGGGCAGAGTTGTAATGACTCGACTCGAGTCACAACTTTTGGTGACTCGACTTGAGTCCCAACGGACCTCGACTCGATTTGAGTCACTGCAAGCACTCGACTTGACTCGAGTCCCTCATCAGAAGACTCGACTCGACTTGAGTAGAAGGCTAATAACCCTCGAGTCCCAAAACTGTACGTGCGAAATATATTTGCAGTGACTTAAGGTAAAAAGTTATTCATGTTTGTGTACTTTGTGTTACCATCAAGTTGTGGCCGCTTATCACCTACAAATATACACAGCATCATGGATTCCCACCTCGTTGTTTTATAATGTGGCGCACACTTGAAATTTATGTCCTGCATTCAAAAATAATTAGATATGTTTCTATAAAGGAGCAGTTTCGTATGTTGCAATTTGGTTTTGAAGTTGTCAGGTATAAATTATTCCAGCCCCGAAGGCAAACCAGACAGGAAACCGAAGTTTCACTTCTTGTGAACTAGCTGTTAGTAGATCTTTGGAAGAAATGTCCGACAGAAGCTGTCCATTGGGTACCACGCAGCATTTTAAGTCTTTGGATCTTCATAATAAACTGGTGCCTTGTGTTCCTTCTTCCATTCCTTAATTTATTAGATGGTGTTCAAATATCAGTGACCTTACAATTGACTGGAGTATAAATTTGACTCGACTCGACCACACACTGTGACTCGACTCAACTTGAATTTTTGACCCAATATGACTCAACTCGAGTCACAAAATTCAGTGATTTGTTACAATAAACTCTGGATTTTGGGTGCTTCAGGGAGGGCAGTTTGGGGGAAGTTTTGAGTGGTACAGGGACTAACGGTTCAACTCACATTTTGGAAACTTAACAGGTGCACCAGAAGCTGTCCTTCCTGAAGTTCACCGGCATGGCAAAAGAGGCCACCGACCAGGTCACCCTGGGTCAGGTGGTCAAGAAGGGCGAGTGGGACCTGCACATGCAGTTTGGCAAGGAGGGCACCGGGGAAGGGGAGTTCAAGTGGGCCCGTGGCATCGCCGCCTGCCCGAACGGGGATATTGCCGTGGCTGATCGTAACAACAACCGTGTGGCCGTCTTCTCAGCAGAGGGAAAGCCCAAAATCAGCATCCCGGCCTCCAGTGGTGAGTGTCTCTGGGGTCTTTAAAGCTCTATCTTAATGGCATTTAAATGCATCAACAGTTGCAAGGAACCTTCCTGAATCCTCCAAAATCACCACTGTCCAGGACCTGAAAGGATATCCAAGTTGTGGTCGAGTCAAATCACAAGTATCACAATTTAGAAAATGAAATTATTGGAATTTTTCCAGTTTAATATGTTCATATTTAACATAGAAGGGATGGTGAAAGTTTGTTAGCTTGCCAACTACATGCTCCTGTATTTTGTCATTGGATCCTAGTTTCGGAATGCTGCCTTGTTCAGCGGGGATGATGTGAAAACCAGCATATTTACCCTTCTGCAAAACTTTTACTGTACGTGATCAGTTGACATTCCCAATCTCTCATTCTAGCACGCAATGTCGCTTCGGACTCCAAGAACCGCCTGGTGGTTATCGACCGTTCTGGCTTCGGCACCGTGTACAATGCTGACCGCAAGCAGGTCTTGCAGTTCCCCGTGGCTCCTACTGACACAGGAGTTGTGGTGGATCCACGCTGTGTGGCCATTGACAAGGAAGACAGGATCTACATTGGTAAGTGAGCAGTAGCGGAAAAACTTGATGGCCAGTGCACCCGCTGGAGACATTGAATTGATATATTGGCTCAATACATGTATCATAGCTCTTTGTTTTTAGTCCATTTAATTAGGAAAATATATTCCATTCTCCAAGAATTAATGCATGGGAGCCAGCAGGTCTAAGTCAAGTAGTATCAAACTTTTTAGCAAGCTATCTCCCCCCCCCCCCACCCCCCGCTGGATACACCACTGTCTAGGTCCAGCTAGGCTTCCACATGTAGGGGTGCCCACAAATGATATCAACATTATATTCCTGATGTTAAACAGAAATTTATCAGCAAAAAAAGTTGACGCCATCTGAGAGCGAACTCCAACAGACTGGATAGGACCTGGCTTTGTGGCAAAATGATGAAACTCTAACTTCAACTGGGCCAAAATATGTGTGGTTCAGGTATCTACAGTGATGGGATTTGACTTTGACAATGCACCTGAAAAATCGATGTCACTCACATCAGCAATTTTACTTGAGCGCCAGTAATGATGATTGCGTCTTCTCGAGTCGCGGTCTGTTCACTCTGTCTCTTTTTAGTCTGTCTCTGTTCAGTTGTTTATCTACTCAACTTGGGATTTGCCTTTTGCACATTAAAAGTCTCCTTTACCTGACAAGTCGTTATATAGTTGCAGTTATTGTATGTCAGAGTAAACCCCTGCTCCTTCTGGCAAAGGCAATTAACTATAGGCTTCCTTGTCGCATGGGGATTCCCATATTTAATCTGGCCGTCAATATGACAGAGTGTATCCGAAGTCTTTGTCCAGTGTTTTGGTCTGAACCAACATGATTCTCACTAACACCACAAAGGTAGATCATCTGGCTTACTTCCATCATAAGCCGTATACTGTCGGGACAGACACTGTGGAAGACCCAATTCCCCCCTTCTACCCGACAGTATTCACATAGGCTTTCTTTGTTCATTATGAATGATTTGAACTCTAAATGAGTATGGAATCAATTGGCTTAGTTAGATGGAATTAAAACAATTCTCTGTGACAGTAGAGCCGATGTGAATAGGCTTGCTCAAATCTATTGAGATAAAATCCATCATCCAACTCTTTGTTTTGCTTCCCCGTACTTTCTCCAGGTGACTTCACCCGTCAGGTTGTCAGCATCCACAGCCCCAACGATGGCAAGGTGGAGCGACTGGTCCAGATCAGCATCAAGCCCGAGTTTATCGCCGTCACCAACAAGAACCTGGTTCTGATCACCAATGCTGACGAAGGCCGTGTGATAGCCGTGGACCCCTTCGGCGTCAAGGGCAACGAGGCCTTTGCCATCGACACCACCTTCGACGGCGAGAAGATGAAGCCTGCTGGTGTGGCCGTGGACCACGCCAGCGACGAGATCTACGTGTCGGGCTACCTTGGCTACATCAACACCGGCCAGATCCACCACTTCACCAACCGGGGCAAGCACATCAAGTGCGTCTCCGACAAGCAATACATGCCCCAGGGCATCGGCTTCAACAACAAGGGCATGATGGTCATGGCCAACTACCACTCGGTCAGGGTCTTCAGCATGGCTTAGGCTGTGAAGGATAGAAGGGTCACACATGCAGTAGAACCCCACTGTAAGAAACTAGGAACACCACTTTACCGGTTATATTTAGTCATTTCCACTTTGCATAGTTTGGTTGAAAGAGATGCTGCACTCACAAGCTGTATGTAGCCACTCGAGTGGGTTCCTTAAAGCTATAGTCCATCATTTGCCGCCATCCGAAAAGTAACTGGCGTAATTATTGTTGAAAAACATACTTGGTTGAAAGATGGTAAGTGGACTAAACTCACTGTGAAATTATTCTTTCTGGTAAGCTGTCATTTTAGAGTAATCAACGAAAGGCCTTTCCAACGGTGCGTCTTAAGACGCACCCTAGGAAATTTAAATTAGTAGTTTGTTTTGTTATTCGGCGAAGCACACGCGCGCGGTTGCTATAATTTGTCGGATCAGTGCGCAACATCGTGTATAGCTGCAATTCAAAACAATTCAAAACATGATTCAGCAACTTTTGATTTGAAATTGAGATCCTAGAATGCTGTTTTTCTCGGAATATACAGCTGAAGCTGAGCTGAAACTTCATCAGGTTAGTTGTTCAGTATCCTTCATTAGATTTTGAACACTTTTGTTGCTTCAAACGAACAAAATGCACAAATTACAAATGATGGACTATATCTTTAAGGTAGAGCCTTATATTACACAGAGTGTGTCTCAATGCAAGAATGAATAATGAGTAATATCCTTGCTCATATAGCCTACAGTTCAATGTGGATCCAGTGTAGAAAAAAATATTAATATGGATTAATTCCTTGGTTGTTCCTCAGAGAGGTGTTCTACTGCATAGACCTGTGGCTCTGTTAATTACAGAGCCAACACAATCCCCCCATTTTGGGAGTCAAAGGCTTTTGATTTATCCAACAATGGCATGTACATATTCAAGAACATTTAGCACCCCTGGACAAAGGCCAGTCAATTTTAGGCAGACCTACGAATCGCATACCGCAGACCAGTAATCGATCCATGTCTATTGTCTAAAATACGCACAGTTGGTGCCGATAATAAGGAAAATATGGCTCCCGTAGAGGTGCCGCATCTTAGAGGCAATGTAGGAAATGATTTGTTTGCAAAGCTTAATGCAGGACTCTTTGCACCTATAAAGGTGTCATAGAGTCTAGTCCACTCACAAGTCTAGTCACAAGTGACAAGGAATGGAGGGTAAGAAAGGACTGCCTTAATCATAGTTCCTTTGAATAGCTTGTTCATTTCAAAAGCTCGACTTGGGACCTGATGCCTTTTGATTGACACGTGACTGGACTTCTGGGGACTGGATGCAGCTGCAATACTTCTCTTGAATGGGCATTGTGTTTCTGGGATTTTTTTCGGGTAGCAATGGAGGAGGAATGAGTGATTGAATATTATGAGATCCAACACGCGGATTTCTTTGCTTTGCACACCCAAAAAACAAATCGTCATGATTAAAACTTGTATTATCAATATCGTTATCATAATCATCGTCATCATCACTATCATCATCATCACCACCATCGTCATCATGACCACCTGTCAACTGCACTGTTTGGTCTCAATCTGTTTTTATCTCACATTCCATGCAAACAAGTCTGGCAAATAATGTACTGGGGTTTAAGACATTTACGAGCAAACTCCTATTCTTGGCAGTGCCCAACCCAAGTTAGGCCTGCCCTACTTGAACGATCTACTTTGGTCCAAGCTGGGACAGGTCCAACATAATGGCGAGACCGATGACCAAATTGGGGCGTAAAAAATGTACACCAATATGTTTCCATTTGTATGTGTCCACGTATGCACTACAGTATTGATCACAGAATCTTGTGGTTCCCATTATCTTCATAAGTCAGGTGTTTATTCTTGAATGTATACACGGATGCTTAAAATGGAATTCTCATTCTACATTATCCAAAGTAAATATTCTGTAGGCATTAGGTGAGAATTGTTATTGGACATTGTAGGAACCCATATGATTTGAAGTTAAAAAAAATATGAAGAAGTCCTGCAAAATTCAGCTACATGTACTTTGTCTCCAAGACAGCTTTTACCATATTGAGACATGGCCCACATGCCCCTTTTGTGTTTACCGTATCGTTGATGTCAGTCAGAAAAAAACAACAGGAGTTATTTGGACAAATGAGCGAAATTCTCGTCATTTAATTCAGTGGTGTTCAACAAAGTGATGAATTGGAAAAGGAAAATGAATATGCCATATAGGAAAAATGTGGCGAGATGTACAGTGTTTAACAGCATTCCACGTTATTTTTTTGTAATCACATATTTTTGTGGAAATGCGTTTTACATATTAGATTTGCTTCAGTTATCTTTTTTTTTTTCGAAGCTAATGTCAAAAAAGCTGCAGTGTATATCTGTTTCATGAAATACAGTAAAGTTAGATATTACAGTTTGTAGCTTTGTATTAACTAGTTACTTCTTAAAATCCACGGTATCGTAATATAGAGATCACAGCTTCAAATCCTGTGGAAATCATTTTTTTTTTTTTTTTTTTTTTATGTGATTGGTTCTTTTGGCAAGAAATTGTTCAAGTGATTACTTTACAAACATTCAGCTGAACTTGTGTAGTGTAGAATTCTTAGTGCTTGATTTTGTTTAGGAAAGTACTAAACTGTGTATTCGTTTAATCTATAATTATTATGCTAATATTCTGTATAATGCTGCCACATACTACTCCTCCGTATATATTGTAGCTTTAACCCAAAGAGTGTATACTGTATATGTAGGTTGTTTTGGCGTTGATATAGGTTTTATAAGCTGATCGAGCTACTAATGTTGATATTATCTTAGATTTTTGTTTGTTTTAGATATTACAATGTACTGTGACTGGATATTAATTTGTATTCCAATTTCAAAAATGATTCAAGTGTGTATTTATACAACTGTTGTGTAATTATTTTGTGGATTAATTGTACCACATTGGGCATCTTCGTTTTCAAAATAAAGCCATTTTAAAAACATTTTCATTTCGTTAGGGAAAATAAGCCAACAATATTCTTAACGGTGTAAGATAATCTGCTCACCTCATTTCAGTTCTTCAACACATACAGTTTGGTTCAGCTCAAGAGCATATTTAGACCGATTTATTCTAAGCCGCAGCCGCCCCGTGGTGTTCGCCTGCGTGGAATATGCGGTGCTGTCCGGTTCGTTAGTGACTTCGTGACTTTCGTCATACACGTACACGCGCGCGCACCACTGGATACTAGCGCCCATTGGATAAACGCTCAAATTGCGTTAACTTCCGGTTCCAGTGGTTCCATTGCTACTTAACGAGCAGTGGGCGTGGTTTAAACTGACGTTACGTCACATTAACGAACCGGGTACATGTAGTGGAGAGTTGCTGCATCTGGGTTTTTTTTTTCGTTAGTAAAAACGTCATACACGCGCGCGCACCACTGATTACTAGCGCTCATTGGATAAACACTCAAGTTGCGTTAGCTTCCGGTTCCAGTGGTTCCATTGCTACTTAATGGCCAGTGGGTGTGGTTTAAACTGAACTGACGTCACACTAACGAACTGGGTTCGCCCACGTGAGCAGTGGGCGGGGCTTAATGGATCGAGATATTTCAAGATACTAAAAAACTCCCATTATCAGAATTGCGCCGCCTTTCCACAGAAAAGAAGTACATTAGTTAGACCTATATTTTTGAATTACAATGCAGGCTGTACCGTATAATAGCTTTACTGTGACCCATGTATTAATTTTAAAAGTATAACCACTAAGTAATTATGTACAGTACAATAGCAAGTATCGGTAATTAATTGGAAGTTGTTAAAAAAAAATAGTGTCCATTAATAATAACTGTATTGTTGTTGAGTGCAGCCATGAATTTAGTACTTGAATGTATTGTTATTTGTTAAGGTGATTGGGTATTTGTAACGGAATTGCTTTAATGTTTGAATTTTGCTATCGGTGTATTCAATCAGTTTAATTAACAAGTGGTATATTTTTAACAAGGAAGTTGTATGTACATAGTCACATTCCGAAGATTTATGCATTTTAGCCTTAAATTAGAGTAAATTGAAGAATGATCAGACAGTCATGTACGTGCATAATAAAGTTTGCTCTGCATTTAATTTTCCAGTACTACAACTCATGTTTCCCATGTAATTTGTGTTAAAGGTTTGCCTGTGTTTTAGTGTGGAATGATATGATTTGATATGATTTTTTCAAGACTAGTAAATGGCCTAGTATTGATGCATGAGCACAAATATTAAGTAATTGATCTTCTATGAAAGAAAAACAGCTGAGCGCCAGCTAGTCGTGAGTAAATTCATCACATTACTTTTTAGCTGGTTACCTTGTTCCACCAGACAACCGTGCTTACCCTATATTAAAAGATCCCACGCTGGCTGTCTCTGTCCTCTGTCTGTGTCACTGGTTTTGTAAAAGGCCTAAAAATTAATGCGGTCGTTCAGAGAATGGCGATCGGAGGTCCTTAATTGGCATATATGCACCGTTTTCACTGTCCTCTGAATTCACAGTTGGCACGGGAAAATGAAGGTTTTTGTTTTGTTTTTAGTTTTGCTTTTTTTTTGGCGAATTTGTTTCTTTGAGACTTTCAATAGTTCAATATTACATTATTTCTATGAAAACACTGCAAATGATGTTTGCATTTCGAAATCTGACTGTAGTGCATGCAATGAGAGTATGAGACCCTTCTCAAAAATACGTCAATTGAGGGCGCACTGACCAGCTAGCGGTGCCCCGCGATCCCGCTATAGTGTAAGTAAATTTTGTGTTTGCAGCAGCTCTGTGAAATTTGTTGCAAGTTTGTATGCTCCGTTGCCGTTTAGCAATTGGCCCATCGAGTACAGGTAGAGCTTGTAGGTTTTAAAACCACTAAATTTCAGTTATATTTGTTCACTTTTTCATATGATTAAGATGACATTTTAAGATAGTGCCTTACTGTGCATCAATTGTTGTTTACGTTTTCTGACCACAATATTTGTGTCAGTGATGTAGTGCCTTGATGCTGGGCCTTGGCTTTAAGGCTGCCTTAAGGGTGGATTTTAGGGCCTTGGCCTTGGCCTCGAGGCTTGAGGGCAAAAGCCTTGGCCTTGGCCTTGGCCTTGAGGGTTCAGGGCCTTGCAATTTTGAGTCAAGGCTCTTCAAGGCCCAAAGATTTTTGCATTTTCCAGATAAATCTGTTCGAAATTTTGCTGTTACCATTTTAATCGTATTACGATGGAGGAGGGAAGCACCAAATAGATTTGTGTGTTGGGCACACTTCCACTTTTATAGCATC